ACGTGGTTACAATGGTGGTGGAATAATGAATTGCGACTAGTTCGAATTACAGTCGAATTTATGGCATTCACTTGCGTGCTAATACAATTGAGAAAGATATAAATACATTTATTTTTCCCCACATGTGTAGACAGCAGGACAGACAGGCTTGGGTGGCAACCAGTCTAGGAGAAAGAAAACTCAAAATTCAACCCGGCTTATAGAGGGTTGATCTCCGTCAGGCAGTCTTACCTAAGACGCAGCACTTCTACTTCGGCTGCAGTACATGTAGAGCCCCCACGAATCTAATGAGTTACGAGACACATGAATATCTATCTATCTATCTATCTATCTATCTATCTATCTATCTATCTATCTAACAATTTGCCATGTTTAATCTCATTTCTTGTAAGGAAAAACAAGATTTCCTTTCCTGTTTGATTTTGTAAGATTATTTGGTTGAAAAAATGCAGCTAAGTAATTATAATTTAATTATTAAATAAGGTCATTCTCTTTAATTAAGTATAAAGTTTAGATTAAGGTACTAAATAACCCACAGAGGTGTTGATATGCCGCTAAACAAAAACAACCAAAGCCGGAGATAAGAGGCATGGATCTTCGTTTTTTTTTTATCTCCATCTTAACATCTCTTGATTAAATTGCAAGACAACTTTTTCAATGTTCCCTCCACAAGGGTGACCAATAATTATGAATCTTCTGTAGAAGATGCCAGATACAGTGTCTGTTTTTCGTCTGCCACACACTAAATCTACATTCCACGTACGAGCGACCATTGCTTCCACGAAAGCCGAATCTAGAAGATCAAGTGACATTACAAAGCACCATTCGATCTCACAGGTGTCAGAGAAATATACAAATGGATATATTGCTGACGGTGTTGTGACGTAAGGAGAAACCCGATGAGTGGAACGAATTGTCTTTTTGCATGTAAATTATTACCAACGGTCCGTGTTAACACTACTTGGCCCACATTCGCTCTGTCCTGTGATATAGACGCCGTCTTGCCTAACAGCAATACAGTTACAACTCCTAGATCCGTTCTAGGGTCCGTACAGCATTGGTGTCCACCTCTGCTCTGTTATTTACGAAGGTTTAAATTAAGATTTTCCTTCACCTAGACTGGCTACCTGCCATGAGAATGGGCGCGATATACTCTGTTATATAACGTACACATCTTGATTAAGATGCTTGCTTATTTTCCCCTAAAAGAATTAGCGTTAAATAAAGGAATCCGCTTCGATCAAAATTTGAAATCGATATGCTAATTCTTCTGTGAGAGTTGATAGCTGTCACGCTACGACCACTTCAGTGACTGTTGTAACTTGTAACACACATTTCAAAACAAAGCGGCAATTTGTTCTATAGCGCTTCTGATATGAGATATGAATTTAATTTTGCTTACATATGATATAATTTAAACGATTTGGTCAATATACGCTGTAAATGCGTTAAATGAGAAAATAATCCATCTTAATATTATTTTTTAAACGAACTAAAAGATTTGATACAGTAGATTAATCAATGAATTAAATATACATAATTTTAATGTTCTTTTTAACTTTTTATTCCATTTTATACCGGTAATATATGCTATTTAATTATATTATAGCGTTCGCAGAGTTATGACGTATTAACCCACCATAAATTATGAATCAACCAAGCAACACGAACCTACGTTGAATGGCACGAATGGCCTTAATTTATTCTCTTCTGTGCTATTCCTGGGTATGACGATAAACTGCATCAGGCAGCAAGGCGTCTGATCAGAGGTTTGAGGAGTGTCGAACCACCTATTTATTGCTGCTATTCTCAGGTCCAACCTGATCCGAGATGGCACCACTTGTTAGAGCCTCCTTATCGACAAATAATGAACCCTCAAACAAAAGTCAAAACATTACAAAAGTATATTTTATAGTAAAAATACCAGCAATACTTTTTTAATAAAAAAAACAAAAAAAAAAACATGAACAACATTTTCATTTTTGAGCGAAATTACCAGCAATATATTTTTATAAAAAATCATTACTATATTAAAATGGCCAACAGTTCGTTTTTATAGAAAATTGACAAGCAATACAGTTTGGAGTAAAATTGAAGACATGCCATGCATTATCAATATATATATATATTAAAAAGAGTGAAACCGCAAAAGTTTTTGGTTAGAATTTGGATTTGTTTTAGTATATATATATATATATTATATTTTACTCTTCATATTTCTGTTGTATATAAGGTTGTGGAATGGTATGAATTTTATTGGTAGGTCAAAGGCTTCAGAAGTTTTCAAAAATATGTTCAGCTCATTTGTATTATTTTTGTTTGGGAAGAAATTGGATTTATTTTTTACGAATGATTCATCTGTAATGTTTTCGGTATTATTAAATGTCTGTTTCGACATATTTCGAGTTTTCCAAGAGATAAATTCACTCTACATGGGTTGTCTAGCCAGTGAGATTTTCTCTTGTTAAAATTGGGGTTGTTTTTTTCTCTTGTTCAAATTGGGGTTGTTTTTTTATTACATTGGAATCGTAAATACGATTCCAATGTAATCAATTATAACCATGGAATATTAGGGTTTAATCATTTTTATTATATTCTTACTCTGTCCTGGACATTGAGTTCTACCAGGATTCTATCCTCTTGGAATATTTTATATATATTTGCATATGTATGTATATATATATATATATATATATATATATATATATATATATATATATATATATATATATACGAGAGCAACTCTCTGCGGCTTCTGTCTCACGTTGACTGCTGACCTGAGATGGAATAAATACATCGAGTCAATTGCCTCGTCCACTGCGAGGAAAGTTGGCTCCCGGAGCCGCGCTAGGAAGTTTTTCTCCCCAAAGTCGATCCTCCAGATATACAAATCCACAATTCGCCCTTGCATGTAGTATTGCTGCCATATATGGTCTGGCGCCCCTTCTGTTTGCCTCGGGGTTCTTGATAGGCTCCAGAGGCGGATATGCAATATGGTTGGCCCTGCCCTGGCGTCTCGTCTACAGTCACTTTCCCACAGACGCGCCGTCGCCTCCCTCTGTCTGTTCTACAAATACTTTCATGGAAATTGCTCAGAGGGGCTGCATTCACTGGTTCCCAGATGTCATGAGTTCCAGCGCCCTACGAGGCTGGCATCCCGCTCTCACCCCTTCACTGTCGAAACTCCTAAATGGAGCCGTCTCTTCTAGCTTCATGTCTCGCACCTCTCGCCTGTGGAACTCCCTTTCCCTCTCCTGTTTCCCTGTGAGCTATAATCTCCAGCTATTCAAGTGTAATGTCAATCGACATCTCCAGTTGCCTTAATCTATCCACTACCCTCATCCTTTCTTCTATCACTCCTATCTGATCTTGCTATAAATTTTCTGTAACCCCTTGCGTCCTAGTGGCTTCCCGCCTTGCTTGGGGTGACATGCTTAAAAAAAATAAAAAATAAATAAATATATATGTATGTATATATGTGGATATTAACCACTAATATTATCTATCTATCTATGTATATATATATATATATATATATATATATATATATATATATATATATATATATATAACAATTTGCCATGTTTAATCTCATTTCTTGTAAGGAAAAACAAGATTTCCTTTCCCGTTTGATTTTGTAAGATTATTTGGTTGAAAAAATGCAGCTAAGTAATTATAATTTAATTATTAAATAAGGTCATTCTCTTTAATTAAGTATGAAGTTTAGATTACGGTACTAAATAACCCACAGAGGTGTTGATATGCCGCTAAACAAAAACAACCAAAGCTTCTTATAATGTATTTCAGTGTTTAACCGCACGAAAAATTGTAACTTAAAAAAAAATATATATTCGCCATTTTTTACTTTATGAATTCTGAAAAAGAAAGCCTGCTCCTTTTATTTATCAGGTCATTCTACCACTTCTACTTGTTTCATGTAACACTGTACTATTTGTCGTATAGTCGACTAAAAAGGTCATCGCAACAATCATTTCTAGCAAGGTGGGTATCTTGACACCCTGTTGAATTAAATAGAAATATTTGTCAAACGAGGATATTCTAGTTTCAACGGACATCTGGCAAAATAAAGCAGACTGGCTTCCATCGATACGGATGCAGCCATATTTTCTGGTTTCATAATATTTGTCTTGCCTTAGTGTCTCGGCTTCAGTCACCTTCCCACCGCTGCAAGATTGCCTCTTTGTGTCTTTTCTATAAATAACTTCATCACTATGATACTTAGACTTTATTAAGTTAAGCGCAGTAGTAGACTGATAGTTAGGTCTCATCAATTTACAGTTGAGTTGGCTAGATTTAACCTTATGTTCTATGCTAACAGATTCTTCAGTCACACGTCTGGCTTGTGGAACTCTTTTCCGGCCCCATGCTTGCTAATCAATTTTAATCTTCAAAAATTTAAATGCAACGTCAAGCATTATCTACTTTCTTCTTGATTGCTATTCTATTGTGGCAGGGTAGTAATATTTCTGTTTTCAAATTCTTCCACATCCAGTAAACCCTTTTGTCTTTGAGGCTTTATAGCATTGTCTGGGATGAATTCGATTAAAAAAGTTGATAAGCTGCAAATCAATAAATCACTGCCATCCATTAATGTCCATTGTAAAATCTTCTTTCCCCTGTTATCATTAATTAGTAGGAATTTTTATCAGGAAAAACCTTATAATCCCCCCCTTACAAGTTAAGAATATAGTGATTTTCCAAGCGTAGCTTAGATGAAGCAGAAGGTTGAAACTAGGAGACAACCATTGAGGATCAAACTCACTAATCAGTCGTAATTGTTCTAGCGAAACAAGCTTGCTAATCATTACGCAGCCTTGAGGTCCCCCAACAAGCTAAGAATATAATCTGGACTAAGATTCTTATGAACGTTCACTGGAATTTTATAGCTTTCACATAGTGAAGGATTTAGATTAGTCTGACTCTGGCTTAAAAATCTAGTTTTATTACGGTGACATTTCGCTTAGAAAAAGACTTACGAGCATCTCACGTTGAAACATCGGTTCCCCATACGAACACCGAAGTTAAGCAATGTCGAGCCTGGTTGGTGCATAGATGGGTGACCGCGTATGAATACCAGGTGCTGCAAGCATGGATCGGCGAGTGGTGTAACTGCAAATGGTTTGGAATTGGAAATCAGTGAGCCGAATTCCTGTTCCAATCGAGTTCGTCTTATGCGCAAATCTCCTTGGCAAAGGTATGGATCCATTCCTTTTATTTCCGGGAATGGGGTAATTTTTATGAATTGTATCATTAAATTATTATCTCCAAAATAATTCTTAAACACTAAAAATGAATTCTGGTTTTAAATAACTTAGAAAAGGTTGATAACCTATAAAAAAGTCAATCAATCTATAGTTATAAAACAGTCGGAAGAGAAAAATATAGGACTTCGTTTTTTTTTTTGTTTTTTTTTTTGTCTTTTTAGTAAATATCGATACAGTCGCTATTACACTTCCGCTACCACCTGTTGGTTAAGGTTAGGGTTTTACAAACATTGATTTTGTTTCTCGAGATTTATATTTTAATTTAAATTTAAATATTATAATTAACAATAACAACTGTCATACCCAGATTGTCTTACCTAGGGCAACCCATTGCTGAATGACAGGAAGCAACGGGACGGGGAAGGGGAAGTGTAATATCTCTGTCATACCGATTTTTCAATTTGAGTTTCAGCCTTGAAGCATCTTCACCGTAAGACCAATATTTAGATGCCATCTTTGTATTCATGGCTTCTTGTGCCCGATAAAGTATTGTGAGTGTTGCCTATGGCTAAAGGACAATTTCCGATGATATTCCTTAAAAAAAGATAGTCTAAATTTAATTTAGATAAGGAGTAAACGCGTCACATTTGACGTTTGAGATAAAGAAAATTAAAAAGAATCCTTGTTATCGATATCTTTAAAAAAAGATAAATTAATCACCTATATTTAAGGCAAATCAGTAATATGAGATAAAAACAAATTTTACGACGAATTATATGATAACACCCCAAACACGATGGCTTTGAAAATGAGACCCAGTTAACATTCAAAATTGATGCCGCTACTAAATACACTTGACTAATTCATTTCCTTTATTTTTATAGAATATCTATCTATCAATGATTTATTTCTTTAGAAAAAGCTTATTTTTCTTCAATGTGCCCTTTCCCTTCAGAACGTTCGTACTCATGGCTCTCCACAACTACCTGAACTTTGTATCTCTTATTATAATTTTTCTTTTCCTTATCTCTCCCAAAGACTATTTAGTCAGCCATTTATATAAGCTCGCCGCTTTCTCTCTCACTCCTGACTTCAGTATCTCCTGTAAGGGACAAACCTTATTTCCTCAACACGGGTAGGAGATATATCAACTGCTCCTTTCTGAGGAGTTCAGAAATATGGTGAAATTGTTAGATAAAGAAAAAGTTGGCCGAAGTAAAATAAGCCGGGTAACGCAAAAACATAGCGCGTGATGGATATAAGGAAAAGGAGAGAGAGAGAGAGAGAGAGATAAAATGCAAGAGAAATTGAAGGGAAAGCTTTATATGGACACCGTGCGATGAATAAATTGTCGTGTAAATGACTCAAAAATGAAAATAACACTAACATCTCATTTTAACAGATATTTTTTTTACCAAAATTACACAAAATTATCTTGAAATACTGAAAAGTAAATTCCTTCAATAAAATCGCTATTGTCTTCAACCACCGCCTCCACATGACTTCGGAATCTTCTGCATCTATTCCGGGCGGTTTAAGTTGATGATTCCTGCCATAATCCTTGCTTTCAATTCATCTTTGGGGTTGCAAGGATTTTTGTTGGTCTCCCGCCCAAATGCGACCCAGAAATAATAATCAAGGTGTTTAAAGTCTGGGGAGTTAGGTAGCCAGACATCAGGAGTTATGTGGTCGCAGAAATTGTTTGACAGTCACGACTGGGTTATCTTGCATGATACAGAATTCTCTTGTTAGTGTTTTCCAGCAGCCACTCTTTTTACCCAGGGTAGCACGACCTCCACAAGACATTTGATGCAGGCCACCGTGTTAAGTCTGACGCCGTGTAGGAAGATGAATAGTTTTGAATCGATATATCGTCCAACTCTTTCCATATCCCCTGCACTGTCCTCAGATTGACACCCCAATGACAATGTTCGTATTCGAGTTTCCGACAGGAATGCTAAGCAGTACAGCATGCTGTTTCGAAATTTTTGTCGGGGTGAATTGCACCATGGTACTCTTTTTCTTCCAGATGGTGGCCAACTGGCCCTACTATGATATGCAGTCGAAAAAATATCAAAATCAGACAACCCACATGTGCGAAACTCTAAATATAAAATGGCTACAATTTAATTCTCGCGCCCTGTATCGGGAAGTAACAGAGTGAGAGTTAAATAAAGCGGAAGACTGATAAAAGTTAAGTGAGAAGACAGGGAAATGGTTAATGCAACGGTAAAATTAGCCGTTCCCATACAGGAAGTAACCAGAGATGCAATCTGTAAAAGGAACAAGAGACAGACTTCTATTTTTGTTCAAAAGATCGAGAAAGAGTGTGAACCGAAGCTAATATCATTGTATCATTATTTTCTCTACAATTTGCTACCAATTTTCATTGCTGTTACAAATTTGCTGCTGTTGGAAGTCTTCAAATGATTCGGTTTTTATTATTAGACAGATTTACTAGCGCCAATCCATAGGACCTGAAGAAAGATTGATTATCATAGTTTAAACATCTTTTAAATCATTTCCCACCAAGGAAGGCGATGATGCCAGTTAGAAGAGAATGAGAAGACTTTAGTGAAGAGAAAGAACACTAAAAGAATAGGGATTTAAAAGAGAGAATTTACGTTGCATTTAAATATTTGAAGATTGTAGGATACATGTAATCAGGATACGGAAGAGATTTCCACATGGGAGAGGTGCGAAGAAATAAACTATTAGTATGGAACTTACGTTACATCTATTTCATCCAACATTAAAACAATGTTGCGAATCTAGACGTGTATTTAAATTCATGCGGTTAAGTTACTAAGAAAGAAAACTCATTAAAACAATTGTCATGAAAATATTTATAGAAAAGACAAAGGGAAGCCAGGTCACTGTGGTGAGAAAGTGACTGAATTCGAGATGCCAGGTCAGACATTTTCTTCAGATTTCGTCGAGAATCCCATGATATTTGAAAGTATCCAATGCCCCTACGAATAGCGGATTTATAAATTTGTAGGATGGATTCTGCGAGAAAAAAATGACTGAACCAACTGTCCTAGTAGCAACCTAGGAACTGATTGAATATAATCACTTCATGTCATTGAGAAAGATGAGTCTAAGAAGGCGCAATTAGTTGCTTTACTGAAGGTTAGCATCAGCCATGCTGATCTAAAGCAAAAGTGGTGATTATAAGATTTGGACATACACCATACATGCTATTCATATAAGCGTCTCGATATGATGAAATTGTTTCAGTACGTGCATCGCGTTTTCAAGTTAATTTTTCTGCTTTGTATCATTTTGTGAGGCTGGAAAAACTCCTCTTCATGTGAATATTTTCAACAGCAGCAACAGTTAAAATAAACAGCACATGTAACTGGAAGCGAAAATGATGACACAATCAAGATGTTGACTTTCCACACTACTTCAAACGAAGGGCAAGAAAGGAAACCCCCATCAGTACTGGAAAGAGCGATAACAACTACGGGACTTGAGAAACTAATATTCCTTGCGTCTTAGTGGCGTTGTTGTCTTGTTTGCGAACTGATTAAAACAAAGGAAGGGGAGAGTGAAGTGTTAAAAATTACTCTGTGAAGGGCCCTAATAAGCCATATTCTGAAATATCCTCACATATAAAAGAAGACATATTCTCTTGAATTTGTATTATTATTTGATGAAGCATTGCAAATTATTATTAGCTTTTCTTGCTCAAATTTCTTTCATCTTAATTTCACTTGCTTTTCGATATTACACAGATCGTCATTCTACGACCATTCATAAGATGCCTTAGAAATAAAGAATTTCAACTTATATAGATACTGGAAGCATCAAAGTAGGTAATTTGTTTTGAAGGAAGACGCAAACACTTATTCGATTAAAAGAAGAATGCGACACAAACATATTTTTTGTTATATTTAAAAGGCTGGCATCAATAAATGGACTTTTCTTCCATCTTAGACACTTATCAAACAAAATGTAGACAAGAATTTGCCAGGAATTATTTCGAAGAAGGAAGCCAAACTGAATCTGTCATTGTCGTTTAAGGTTTACTCTCTGTTACGTTTCGGAGATTATGAGGCGAGGATAACATACAAAACAGATAAAGGAGGATTGAAATTCCTTTTATTGGCATTTCTTTGAAGACTTTCATATTAAAAGATTTAAATCTTTTTTTGTTGTGTGAAATATGCAGAACGGAAGAGATTATATGAATTCGAAAAATAAGGATGATCAATGAATACAGGCTGTCCCAGAAATATTTCTCCAACCCTGGATGATAATACTGAACGCTGTTGGGGAGGAGAGCATGATTCTATTGACTGACTGACGAGATCAAGTGAGTCATTTTTTTTTCATGTGCCATGGTCATTTGTGACGTAGGCGATCATGATTCTCCACAAATGTGTCACTTCTTTTGATCTACGTCATTTTAGGCCCTTTAACTTTCCACGTTGTCCTTGTTCTGCTATTGTGCACACTTTGCCCGTGAGTGCTATAGGAATTGTTCCAAAGAGCATATACATTATCCCTTCGTTCCAACCTACTTAAATAAGACCAACAATTCTACAAAAGATTCAGCCTGCACGACACAAGTATCATTTTACGAACACAATGGTAACATTTATACACAAAGTGACGGCGTAACAATAGGTTCGTCTTTGGATCGACTCTATCTAATGTCTACATGTGTCATGTGGAAAAAAAGTCTTCAATAATTCCAAAAAGCCCTCCACAACGATATGCACACGCTATATCGAGGACATATTCATATAAGCAAACATTTCCGGAAGAATTAATTCAATGAAGGAAACCTTTGAGAAAAACTCTGTCCTATAGTTTGCTTAAGAACTCAACAATAAAACCACTTTACTTGACATATTAATCACAAATTTTACCAC